GCAGTTGGACATCGGGGAACAAACACAAATCCTTATAGGCCACACTCACCTGGTTTCCCAACTTTTGCATATTTCTCAATGATTGCTCCATACTCTTTACCTTCCTGAACATCTCCTCTTGCTCTGCATTCTTGGGTGGTTTATCAGTTTCAACATGAGGCTCAAAGTGGGGAGTGTAGGAGTAAAGATCTGGGACTTTGAATGTGGGTTCCGAGGCATAATATTGGGTATCTGGAGCTGGGAATACGGGCTCACTAGAGGATCGGTGGAGGATAGCTTGTGGAGGGGTACAAAAATAGGAGCAGATGTCGGAGCAGGGTACGAGGTTGTTTTGGCTGGTGGAGCATGAAAAGTTTGGGCCGAAGTGCCAAGGTAGTTGTGGTATGGGGTAAATCCTGGTGTGTGTTGTGGGGAAAGATCAATGGTATTAGGCATCTGGGATTAGGAGAGTGGTGGAATGGAGGCAGGGTTTTCTATGTAGTTGGTAGGGAACGAGGGTGGAGGGTGTCCCTTAATACAGGCCTGATACATTTCCGTCATTTGATGCTTCAACCTTCGGACCTCCTCTTGCAGTTCCGATTTTGACTCAACAATCTCCCTTGGTGGGTCTACAACTCCAGTGTCTGTTTCAATGCTAGCCATGACTATTTGGCGCTTTGACCTGGTGTTGTATGGATGACTTGCCAGGATGCCCACAAATTAACCACCTTCCTGATGTTAAATAAAAATAACAGAGCAAAACAACACAAAACCATCATGTTAGCGTTAGGGCATTTATCATATGATAATATCACGTTGTGTGCAATGCACTTAGCAACAATTAGCGGTTCTAAAATGGATTTGAGGGTCGCAGTGTCATATGGCATCATCCCAATTTGTTCATTTCAATCCTCACTTCTCTTTCTCTTCTAGCACCTCTTATCATTTTCTTCCCACTCTTTCTCTCTTCTTTTTTTTTCACTCTTTTCTTTTCTTTTCTCTTAGTTTTAAAAAAAATAATTTGATTGAACCCGATGTAGGTTGAGTACGTATCATGTCCCTTATGAATCAGACTAAGCGTAGTTCTGGAAAAGTGATGGAAAATAAACTAAAAATAAAATCTTTTTTGGATTTTTCATTTAAAAACTTTTCGATATTAAAATACAATGGGAATTACGATAATGAAAGACCCGACATACTAAACTACACTACGACAGACTCTGACACTACCTAAAGAACTCAGTACCTCTAGACAAGATACGAAAGTAAAAGACAACATAAGACAATCTCAAAACACCTAAATAGAATGACTCCTCAAGCTGCTCCTAAATGCGACGGTCCTGGCTGGGATGGGTCTGATGAAAATCCAGATGGCCCTGTCAATCCGGTCAAATCTAAGCTCTATATTATACCCTGCAAGGACACCTCAAAGCTGGGAATGAGAATCCTGGAATGCGCGCCTGCATCTAGAAGGTTGACTCTAGTAAGGTACTCACGGTGTTGTCCCATGTTCTCTACCAAACCTGCCAACTGTGATCTCAATGACTGAAATGTAGCTTGGACCCCGACTCTCTCTGCTGCGTGGGCCTCCTCTGCTTGAGTAAATTGATCCATCAATTCTCTAAGTAATATCCGTGAGGTGGACTCCTCGTCAAATACTACTCTAGCACGTCGGGGCAATGGCCTGCTAACCCCTACTGAGTAGACTATAGCCATATGAAGTACTCATAGGTATACCCAGGTGAATGCGGGTCAGCTGCTAAAGTATATCTACCCATCTTCATTGCATGTTGCCAATAGGTCTGGATGTCGACCTCCCTGTGAGTCATAGTGTCAAACTCCCTAATGAAGTTACGAGAATCATGAATGCATGGGACTTCTTGTCGTCTCCCTAACTGACGCATCACTCTAGCAGGGGTATATAGTTGAGTACACCAAAGTCCAATTAGTACCAAGAAGTCTTGCACGCGAGATCCTGCTAAGATCACGTCCAAGTCAATCCAAAGGTATGACCACAAAATCTTCTCTTCAGTCAAGGATCCTAAGTAATCAACCCAAGCCTAAACTGCGAGTGGTAAGGCAAACTTATCGAACGCCATTCTATGCTCGATGCGCTTCACTCGATCTCTAAGACAACAGTCAATCACATCTTTCTCAAACATGGTGGTGGGATGTAAGTGTTCAATCATCCACAGCTGCACCAACAAGTTGCTTCCCTCAATGAACCTCTCACCTTCTCGAATCCTAGTCAAAACACGATAAATTTCTGCCAAAATTGTCGGAACCAAGGTGACCTTACTACTGTGTTTATCATGGAAAAGTGCAAAGGCTGTTGACCCCATGCGCGTGCTAATATGTCTAACCTACAAAGGAAATACCAATAGACCCAACAATGCAATAGCGAAGACCATAGGACGCATCTTCTTCCAAGAGTCATATGATATGGAAAATTCATCTACGAAAGTCTCATACCCAGTAGGACGAGCAAACCTCTCGAATAAAAAGTCCAAAGGTACCCAAGATTGATCTAGACATCCCATGTGGTTTCCAAATCCATCCCTATGATCTTAAGGAACTTTGTGCTTGAATGAACCCTTGTGTAAATCAAATCCTTGTCTAGGTATGGCAAGCGAGTTAATCCGGCTATCTCAGCTAAGGTGGGTGTCATCTTAAGATCCCCAAACTTAAATACCATCCCCTGTGGGTCCCAAAATATCAACATTTCTTCTACAAGATCGGGATGGGGGGTGATGTCCATCAATGAAATAAGAGTCCCTAATTTACCCATCAGATCATGCTGCTCAAGTAATGTGAACATGTTCCACCATTGACACTCTAGCCTTGGTAAGTGGATCCATACCTGTTGAAAGGAATAGGGCTAAATAAAGTTAGTGACTCAAGACACTGTGTGGTGTTGATATCTCCTATTGGACACACGCAAGACATGATTGGGGTTATTGTTGCAAAAATGACCTATGTGGCCAAATGAGTCTAAAAATGCAATACTCAATTAGGATGACCTCTACGACATGGAAACATCTCACGAAGACCTATACATCCCTCAACCTCTTTAGGAATCCGGTCTCCAAAACTACACTGCGGTAATGACCTCACTTTGCAAAAATGGCCGATTTGGTCAAGAGTGGCTAGACACACTAATGCGGTGGGGATGGACCTTGAAATAATATGACATCTAGTTGTGGACTCAAGATTCTAAAACATGGGTCATTGAGGTACCTTTGCAAAAAATGTCCCCATTTTGCAGGAACGATCGATGTAGCCAAAGGTGGCTAGACATGCAAGATTTGGCTACGACCCCGCAAATCCAAGAACCTAAGACTCACTAGGAAGGCTGGACCCTACATGGGTTGCCTACGTATCCTGCCCCGAAAGGCGAGAATCAGGTATGCGTAGTTCGGGAAGATCAGACATGTGAGAAAGCTTTTAAAAAATGCAACTAATTTGGAAAAACTATTTTTTTATCTTTTTGAAAAATGATGGAAAATGTAAAATCTTTTTGAATTTTCTGTTTCTCTTTTTTTTTTTGGAAAACTATGAAAAAAAATGTGAGTGGGCCCTACTTGCTACATTTATATATTTCGCCCTCAAATACCCTTGGTCCGCCAAATGACCCTTTTACCCCTAAAGAGATGCAACATGTAGCACATAGGGATGATTAAATGTCTTTTTGGTTCATAAGCCCATTTTGACATAATTTGGATAGGCCTCCTACAACGGGACACGGTGCCTGGGACTGAACCCTGCTAGGTTTAAATGATATGATGCACATAAGCATGACCTAAAGGCTGATCTATGGTTGGGGTTCACTAGACAAGGCAATTTGGGGCAGCACGTGATCGATGTCGGCTGCTCTAGCTGTCCGCGCACTCCACGCTCCCAAGCCACCCTCCTAAAGACACGGGTGACTCACAAAAAGGTCGTGTACGCTCAAATGTACTCTGGAAGACTTGTTGCAGAAAGAAGACCCGGGGTTATGCAAATGATGACAATTTATAAAGCAGTAACACATAAAGAAAATATTGTAAACAAATAAGCAACTAGCAAATAAAATGACATAAACAAAACAAAAATCAAATAAAGCAAACAAAACACATAAGAACCTCAACCGAATATACTAAAAAGCCAACAAGATCAAGTACTAGCTCGAACATGCTAAGTACATAGGGTTTCTCCAGCAGAGTCGCCAGAGCTGCCACACCCTTTTTTTAACTTCACTAACCTTTTTAAAATAATAAAAGAGATTTGTAAAGCTCAATAGGGTTTTCAATTAAAAAGTGACAAAATTATGTTAAAAAAGAAATAACGCAGAGTCGCCACCTGACATTGGTTTCGGTGTGCCAAGTCACCGTTTGTTTAAAATGATTTTCCTTTTAAAATACTTTGGACTCCAAACTAAGTCTGCACCAAAGATTCGGGTAAGGAGGTTTATTTGACTTGGGGAGAATGTGTTAGGAATTCCCGAAGTCCCGTGAAGGTCACGGTTGCGTACTCGATCAAGTTAGCTATCAAAACACTCAAATTGAGGTAGAAATAAACACAAAAAAACACACAAGAAGCTCGAGGTCGTCCACCTAATAAAACAAAACAAAATAAAAGTAAAATAAAATATTATTCTATGCTTCCTCAAACCGCTCCGTCTTCGTCCTTCATTTACATTCACTTCGGGCATACCCAGATAAAATATATACAAAGTCTTCGTGGTATTCCTCGTATAAATTTAACTAAAGGATCGACCTCTCGCCTCTAAAGAAGCTAAAAGACGAGACCTAAATTCGCCTACCCAAGTGTCGTCGCCCTAAACATGCACACGACATATGAACATTTAAGTACTTTAAAGGGATAAAACATGAATGACTCTAGAATACTTAGTAAAATAAAAGACAGGTGAATCAAAGCTATTAAGGAGGAACCAACTAAAGATTTTCCTATCATCCAATTTCTGATAAATTAATTACGCGAACCTTCAGTTTGCCTTCTTCCTTTTTATTTTTTATATTCCAACATTTATCAAACTATACCAATAAAACACTAAGGTGATCTACTTACCTAATGATACATTATACTAAATAATATCATCAAATAATTTACTAAGATTGTGTGATTGTAACAGAATACTCTAGTAGAATAATGATATTTAAATCATAAAACACTAACTTGCAAACCTCTTTAAAATATATACTCTTAAATGCTTACCACTCATCTAAAAATAACTATGACATTGAAAATTAATTGTAACTAGCCAACCATCTTTATATCACTTTAATTCTCTAAAGCCTTATTTATTAGAAAATTAGTCACAGATTAAACCAAAAGGAATTCCAGAAACCAACTCAATCTCAAAAATACCAAAAGATGTGACTAAAAGCAGGATTATGAGCCTCATTTTACCTATTTATTATGAGGAATAAGCTATTCTAATGTTAAAAGAAAGAACTAAAATAATAACCATAAGCATCTTGTTCAATTTTAAAACAATTTCCCTAGACAATTTTCCGCACATTCCATGTTTGGGACCAGAATCACTAAGGAAAGCAAAGACCAGAACCATAAGTTAGGATAGGTTTTAACAAGAATCGATAACAAAAATGCAAAGTTAATCTCCCTAAATGGCCCTTTCAATGCTTGATTCACCATAAAACAACGAGCAAATAGAATAAGAAAAGAGATGAACCTGAATGAGGTTTCAATTAATTGCTGAAGATTGCAATTACAAGCGAAACTAATGTCAAAATTGTTGAAGCGAGAAATACCAATAAACTTCAAACCGAAACCGCTGGATTTAAACCCTGAATGGCAGCCAACAACGGTGACGAGCTTGAAAGCACTCCTCCTCAATCAAATTCCATCCTTAAAATTAAATCTCGGAATCAAAGGAAGACACAGGAATGTATTTTCGTTTTTTTGTTTTTTTTTCTTCTGAAATCTAAAATAAAGAAAAACTTGAAAATCCGAAAATGAATCTCAAAGAAAGAACCCTGGCTTTTCCTCTCTCTCAAACTAATTTTCTTCTTGAACCCCCCTCCTTCTGTCCAAAAACCTCCAAATATATACCTCACTCTCGAATTTTCTTCTTCTTTACCAAGAAAACGCGTGGGACCACAAACCAAATCCGAAAATCCCTACAATAGACGAGATAAGACAAATGGATGGAGTAAATATAGTGTAACTCGATCCTACGCACCCCATTTTTCTATTCTCGCCTGAAAGAGACAAATTAAGAAAAAGAAAAATGAAGAGAAAAATACGTGAAAATGATAAAGCTTGGTACGGAATGTGTGACGTGGAAGAAGGAGAAAAGAGAAGGGGGGACCATGAGTGAGATTGGGGTGGAGTTATAGTGGGTTTGGGTGTTGTTTAGCAGCAGTGAAGCTTAGAGATTGGTGGGGGGCGCCGCTGGTGGGATCTCTTTAGGTTTAGGGTTGTGACAAAAAAAATCTTTCTAAGGGGTAGGGAAGAAACAGGGGTCATTGGATTTAACTAGATCAAGGGCTGGGATTAATCTAAGAGGGCTAATGGGTTATGGGCTAGAAGGAAATGGGTCAGGCAAGTTGGTCTAAGGGGTGTTGGAATTGAGCGGAAGATTTGGATTAGGCTTTATGAAATTCTTGTTGAACAAAAAACAAAAAACAAAATGAAAAAAATGAAAATCCTACAAACATATTAATTAATCTTAGTTAATTAAATAAACTATTAAAAATATTTTTATTTTTTATTTTTTTATACTTTCAAATATTATATTAAAATAAAAGTTAGAAAGAGTAGATTAAAAGTCATGGTAAAGCTAAATTAATATCACTATAGAAGTGTTGATGATCTTATACTAAAATGAAAAATGTAATAAGATGAGAAATAATATAAATAAAACTATCCTTGTATTTTTGACTTTATATTCTAAAATTTAAAATAAGAGTAGATTAGAATCTAATTAGAATAATTCAAGTGAATATATGAAAATACTAAAGATACTAAACTAACTTTAAAAGTGCGCGAGTCAAAAATTACGTGCTTACAGGTTTAGACGCCAAAAAGTTCATACAAAAATCATTCTCCCTGAGTGCGATTCCAATGCACATTCCCAAGAAGTTTCGCATGCCCGATATACCCAAATATATCAACACCCTAACGAGCATATTACTTCATACACTTGCGGAATCAAAGAGAATAATTTGAATGACAATGAGATCGAATCGGTGTTGTTGAAAAAGTTTGGAGAAATGCTGTCGAAAGGCTCTATGATTTGGTACCACAACTTAGCCCCTAACTCTATTGATTCGTTTGCTATGTTAGCGGATGCCTTTGTGAAAGCGCACACCGGGGCCATAAAGGTATCCACGAGAAAATCGGACGTCTTCAAGATAAAATAGAGGAATGACGAAATGTTAAGGAATTCATATGTAGGTTCCAGATGGAGCGAATGGAGTTACCACCAGTCTCGGATGACTGGGCAGTACAAGCCTTCATGCAGAGTTTGAATGAAATGAGCTCGATTGCATCTCGACAATTAAAGCAGAACTTGATCGACTATCCAGCTGTGACTTGGTCGGATGTGCACAATCATTACCAGTCAAAAATCAGGGTCGGGGATGACCAGTTAGGAGCCCCCTCGGGTTTAGTTCATCCTAACAGATTCGCAACCAAGCCCCCAAGGGACACAGATCGGAAATCAAGATTCAATAAAGAACGGTATCAGCCATATGCCAATCGAAGGAATAGTGGCCCAAGCCGTAACACTTCTCGGAGCAATCGGAGAAACGATCAAGGTCAAAGTTCTCGGGGACTCATGAGTAAGGGCATGTTCGATAAACATATCGGCCCTGCAGAGGCTCCTCGATTATCAAAGTACAACTTCAGCGTAGATGCATCAAGGATAGTCTCAGCTATTAGGAGAATCAAAGACACCAGGTGGCCCAAGCCAATACAGACTGATCCTTCTCAAAGAAACCCGAACTTGATGTGCAAGTATCATGGCACACATGGTCATAGAACAGATGACTACAGGCAGCTAAGGGAAGAAGTGGCTCGGTTGTTCAATAAATGTAATCCACATGATCATTGACGGAGTCGATGTCCCTCAATGACTTGTGTTCAAGCACACCTATATACAGATAAAATCGGAGAGCCCAATTTTACGATCATTATGTCTTTTCGTAGCTTTACCTCGAAGGCCCGGGGGTACGGTTTGAGGTTATGACCTCGAGGGTTCTTTATGCCCGGCCTTAGGGCAGCTTAAGCCGATGGTTATCATGGACAAATGGAAAGTTCCCTAGGCACGTGGTCAAAGCTAACAACACCTGCAAGAATAGCACCAACCTGTACCAGACTGCTAAGTAGCTCTACCAGCTATATTTCTTTGTAATAAATGCACATGTACTATGTTGGGATTTTCCCTCCTATATAAAGGGGACCCTTATTATTTTTTGCACACATGACATAATATCAGATACTTGATACACCATTCAATACAAGAACATTCTCTACTGTCTAACACATTCTCTCTTGACTCTATTATTTACATTTATTGCGTTCCATTGATTGTTCTTTCATTTATTGCTCATTATTGATCATAAAGAGCCTTCATCAAAGCTCTCAAAACTGTTAGTCCTTCATCGACTGTCCACAACTTAGCACCTAGCTCGGGCTTGAGGTCCTGTATAGCTCGGCTCGAGGCCCCGATACTCAACCACTCGGTTTGCCTAAATATACCGCTTTCAAGTTCTTATCTCATTTTCTAGTCTCACACGTAGCATCTACTGCCTAACAACTAGCATAAAAATAAATCACATATTTTTAGAACCACAAAATCAAATTTAATTATAATTACCATTTTCAAGGTTAACAGTTTGGCGCCCACCGTGGAGCTAAAAATAATAGTGATTGTTTTCTTATTGTTTTACTATATAACGCAAGTTATCTTTCATGGTTTTTCTTGACCAAGAATCTTTGATTTCAGGTCAAAATATCTAACTTAGTAAACGCACATGAAAACAACGGTCTTGAGGACCATGGAGAGAATGGTGTAGTTGTTCCAGGTATTGATGTACCACCGTAAAACCCTGAGAGTGCACCAGAACCGATTCCCATAGGTACGGTCTCATGCAACGCCCAACGCATTGACGTTAGTTCCCACATTAACGGGAGTACAGGCCAAGAAAATTGGCAAAAAACTCAAAAAAATCCCATCCCGGGAAGAAAGAGAGGCAAATAGGAGAAACAGGGCGGGAAAACCTCAGCATGCCGTTCATATGATCATTGGGGGGGAACGACATTCCTAAAGGACCCGTGATAAAACGGGTAAAAGTGTCCGCTGCAACAGAAGGGTTAATCCGTCCTGCATGTCCGAAGTCATCCTTGCATTCGGCGAGGAAGATTTTGAGACCTTGACTCGACCACATAACAATGTGCTCGTAATTTCATTTCTCTTGAATAACATTCAAATTAAAGGTGTACTCGTGGATCCAGGTAGCTCAGCCAATATAATCAGGTCAAAGGTGGTAGACAACTTGGGCTGCTCGATCAGATCGTACCTACCTCCCGAGTCCTCAACGGCTTCAACATGGCCGGCGAAGCAATGAAGGGGTAGATCACCCTCCCAATCAATATGTCTGGTGCAGTCCAGAACGCCAAATTCCATGTCATCGGAGGTGACATGAGGTATAATGCATTGCTTGGTAGGCCGTGGATACATAACATGAGGGTAGTACCGTCAACTCTGCATCACATGATGAAGTTTCTGACAAAGGATGGCATAAAGACAATATATGGAGAACAACATGCGGCAAAGGAAATGTTCGCGGCTCATTGGGAGGCATCAAATTCTATGCACTCTACCTCGGAAGAACCGGGAGGAAAATAGATCGCCGAGGATGATGAAGAAGATTTCCTCGCTCCTCGAACCTTCGTTGCCCCCAAAAAGTCAGATGCAACGAAGTCGACTATTGAAGGATTAGAGCAAGCTGTTTTGAACAAATATCTCCCAGATCAGAAGGTATACTTAGGAACGAAACTAATCCCCGAACTCAGGAAAAATTCATTCAATATCTTATTAATAACATCGATTGCTTTGGTTGGTCCCATTTAGATATGACAGGAAACACACCGGAAATAACCACCCACCGACTGAGTGTCGACCCCAGATTCAAACCGTTAAAACAAAAGAGGAGACCTCAGTCGGAAGTAAAACACACATTCATCAAGGACGAGTTAACAAAAACTCCTCAAAATAAGGTCTATTAGGGAGGTAAAATATCCCGAATGGCTAGACAATGTGGTGGTGGTTCCCAAAAAGGGAAATAAGTTTAGAATGTGCATAGACTATAAGGACATAAATAAAGCATGCCCCAAGGATTCATTCCCATTGTCTAACATCGACCGCTTGATCGATGCCACGGTCGATCATGAGACCCTCACTTTTCTCGATGCCTACTCAGGGTATAATCAAATTCAGATAAACCCCGAGGATAGGGAAAAGACTTCGTTCATCATGAAGTACGGTACATATTGTTAAAATGTAATGCCCTTCGGGCTGAAAAATGTTGGAGCCACATACCATCGCCTAGTTAATAAAATATTCGAACATCAAATAGGCAAATCCATGGAAATTTATATTGATGACATGCTAGTTAAGTCCTTGCGCATAGAGGACTATTTGACTCATTTGCAGGAGACATTCGACATCATCAGAAGCTATAACATGAAACTCAATCCCGAGAAATGTGCCTTCAGAGTGGGTTCGGGCAAATTCTTAGGCTTTATGGTGTCAAATAGGGGAAACAAGATCAACCCCAATAAAATCAAGGCCATTGAATAAATCATGGTGGTAAACAATGTGAAGGCCGTGCAACGGCTGACCAGGTGGATAGCAGCCTTGGGCCGATTCATATCGAGATCATCAGACAAGAGTCATCATTTCTTCTCCTTACTAAAAAAATAACTTTGAATGGACTCTGGAATGCCAATGTGCTTTAGAGGAGTTGAAACGATATCTGCCTAGCCCACCTTTACACCACACCCCAAATGAGGATGAGATGTTGTTTTTATACCTAGCCATATCCGAGATAGCGGTAAGTGGGGTCCTAGTCCGAGAAGAGCAAGGTACGCAATTCCCTGTTTATTATGTAAGTCAGACCCTGGGAGATACCAAAACCAAGTATCCGCACCTAGAAAAATTGAAACCTTACTTTCAATGTCATCACATTTGTGTTTTAACTACATATCCTCTTCGAAGCATATTGCATAAGCCCGAATTATTGGGCCAACTGGCCAAATGGGCCATCGAACTCGAGGGATATGATATCGAGTATCAACCCCGAACGACTATCAAGTCCCAAATTCTGGCAGATTGTGTGGCCGACTTTTTGCCCTCCCTTGTGCCCGAGGTAGAGAAAGAACTTTTACTAAAAACGGGCACGTCTTTCGGGGTGTGGACACTATTCATTGACGGCACCTTGAATGTGAGAGGATCCAGGCTCGGC